ACATCCACATTCTTATCTCAGAAACCTGTGAATATGTTAGATTATATGGCAAAGGAAATTAACAATGCAGATGGAATGAAGTTTGCTACTCAGCTCAATCTAAATGAGGAATAATATTATGGATTATTCTTGTGGGTGCAATATAATCACAAGGGTCCTTCAAAGTAGAGGAGGGAGGAGAGGTGACAGTAAAATGTTGTGGGAAGAACTCAGCCTGCTGTTGGTGGCTATGAAGATGCAGGGAAAGGACCACAAGCCAAGAACTATAGGAAGCCTCTGGAAGCTGGAATGGGTAAAAAAACAGAGTCTCCTATGGAGCCTCTGGAAAGATATGCAGCCCTGTGACACCTTGATTTTTGTCCATTGAGACATGCGATGAAAAAGTGTCAGATGATAAATTTGTATTGTTTTAAGCCATTAGGTTGGAGGGAATTTGTTAAAGCAGAAATAGAAAACTAATACAGAACCCAACAGTCAGTTTGACATGGAAATGTGAAGTTTTTGCTTTAGGCTTTGTCTTGAGTCATGATCACCAGGAAATCAACAAACACTTGGGAAAAAGAAAATGGAATTCCTTGCTTAAGTAGAAGACATGCTATTCTTTCTGTTTGGCTGGCTAGCTAGCATCCTGGCTCATCTTCTGCGTTTCATGTGGTACCCTGTTGGGGATGAGAACAACATTTAGCAATTATTAGGAGAATTCGTTCCCAGCACATTGTCAATCCCAACACTACTGGGTTGATCTTAATGAAAGACTTGTTAAGTGATAGGCCATGTAGCTAAAGGCAATTTAACCAATAACCCAGCAAAGAGATGGGCAGTCACCTGTCATGTCATGTTTTCTGAATACCTAAAGGCTAACTGTTGAAAGATGCTTCTCTCTGAATGCCAGGGGAAAAAAGAAAAAGAAAAAGAAAAAGAAAAAAAAGATGGTCCTGCTTTACTTTGATATACTTTGCTGCATTCAAGGTCATTCAAAAACCAGTGTTAGAATTAGAAAAGAATTCCAGGACATGGAAAGTGTGTTTCCAAATTACCAACACATTCACCCAAGAATTAGAAACTAAACTAACTTTGGGTAGAGAGGTGAAAATGGGCAAATATACCTGAGGTCATACATACAACAGGACCCTGCTTTTCTTTTAAATTGAATGACAGTTCATGTCAACTACAAAAATTAGGCTTTGATGCATCCCTGTGACATCATGTTTTTAAAGATAATGAGTGTGCACAGTTTTCAGCACATAGCTACTCTTTATCAGTATCCCTTTACAGAAAGAAACTGCTAGGCAGAATAGGGCAGACTAGAAAGAGAGGCATTCCTGGCCTAAGGTGGGGTTTGTTAGAGACATTGGTTCTTTCATTTGCACCAAACGATTCTTACCACCTGGTAGCCCTCTTATGTTTTCAACAAGTGGCTAATGGGAATAGGCTGCGCTAACTGAACGTCAGGACTGGAGAGGAGCCAGTGGGTGAGCCCTGGGGCGTGGTCTCCTCTGAATGAGCAAGCACATTTTCAACACAATTGGCTGCCTAATCGTGTGTTGCAAACTTGGCTGATGTATTTGGATGTGCAAGCAATTATGTTTCCGCTAAAAGCCTTGGTTGGTAATGCTTTTGTTCTCCATTTCTTACAACTGAACTAACAGAGGGAAGAAATTGGTATGGAAATGGTTTTCCTTTTTGAGAAAGAAAGAAAAAAAGAATGAAAGAGAGAAAGAAAGAGGAAGAAAAAGTGGGAGAGAGAACGGGAGTCTTGTTTTATCGCCCAGGCTAGAATGCAGTCCAAAAATGGGTATTAAAATCTTCTTTTATGCTGATAATTGTGCTTAACAATGGAGACAGGAAGGAATAAGGGAGGAAAATAATAAAAAAGCAGCCAACCAATATTTCATTTAAACCTGTGAAATGCTATGCAATTACTGAGGAGTGATTTACTTCCAATTATGTTGTCACTTTTAGAGTAGGTGTGATGTGGTAGTGAGAAGAATATATGTTTTGTGGATTTGGGGTGGAGAGTTCTGTAAATGTTTATTAAGTTTACTTGTTCCAGGTCTGAATTCAAATCCTGGATATCCTTGTTAATTTTCTGTCTTGCTGATCTGTCTAATATTGACAATGTGATGCATTTGGTTGGTAAATCTTCCTCCATCCCTTTGTTTTGAGTCTCTGTGTATCCTCGCATGTGAGATGGGTCTAGATGCAGTATACAGATGGGTTTTGGCTTTTTATCCAATTTGCCTGTCTGTGTCTTTTGATTGGGGCATTTAGGCAGTTTAGGATTAATATTAATATATGTGAATTTAATACTGCCATTTAATGCTAGCTGGCTGTTTTGCCCTTTAGTTGATGTAGATTCTTCATTATGTTGATGCTCTTTACTTTTTGGTATATTTTCCGAATGGCTGATACTGGTTGTTCCTTTCTATGTGTAGTGCTTCTTTCAGAAGCTCTTGTAAAGCAGGCCTGGTGGTGATGAAATCTCTGAGTACTTGCTTGTTCACAAAAGATTTTCTTTTTCCTTCAGTTATGAAGCTTAGTTTGGCTGGATATGAAATTCTGGGTTGAAAGTTCTTTTCTTTAAGGATGTTGAATATTGGCCCCCACTCTCTTCTGGCTTGTAGGGTTTCTGCTAAGAGATCTTTTGTGAGTCTGATAGGCTTCCCTTTGTGGGTAACCTGACCTTTCTCTCTGGCTGCCCTTAGCATTTTCTCCTTCATTTCAACCCTGGTGAATCTGATGATTATGTGCCTTGGGGTTGCTCTTCTTGAGGAATACCTTTATGGTGTTCTCTGTATTACCTGGAGTTGAATATTGTCCTGCCTTGCTAGGTTGGGAAAGTTTTCCTGAATAATATCCTGAAGAATATTTTCCAGCTTAGATTCATTCTCTTTGTCACATTCAGGTACACCTATCAAACATAGATTAGGTCTTTTCACTTAGTCCCATATTTCTTGGATACTTTGCTCATTCCTTTTTACCCTTTTTTCTCTGACCTTGTCTTCTCATTTTATTTCATTGAGTTGGTTTTCAACCTCTGATATCCTTTCTCCTTCTTGGTCAATTCAACTGTTAAAACTTGTACATACTTTGCAAAGTTCTTGTATGGTGTTTTTCAGCTCCATTAATTCACTTATATTCCTCTCTAAATTGTCTATTCTCGTTAGCATTTCGTCAAACCTTTTTTCAAGGTTCTTAGTTTCTTTGCATTGGGTTAGAACATGTTCTTTTAGCTCACAGAAGTTTCTTATTATCCACCTTCTGAAGCCTGATTCTGACAATTCATCACATTCGTTCTCCATCAGGCCTTGTTCCCTTGCTGATGAGGAGCTTTGATCCCCTGAAGGAGGAGAGGCATTCTGATTTCGGATGTTTTCAGCCTTTTTGCATAGGTTTCTTCCCATCTTTATGGATTTATCCACCTGTGGTCTTTGTAATTGCTGACTTTCAGATTGGGTCTCTGAGTGAACGTCCAGCTTGTTGGTAATCATGTTATTTCTGTTTCTTTGTTTTCCTTCGGCAGTCACCCCTCCCCCACAGAGCTGAACCTTCCCGGGTTCAGCTGTGCTTGCTGTGAAACTCTCAACCATCAGCGTTTCCAATTGCTATGTTTTTGTGTGGGTGGGACCAGCCGAGCCCGATCACCTGGCTCCCCGCCTCGGAGTCCCCTTTTTTCTTTTCCCAATTGAACAGTCGATTCTCTCCCAAATGCCCCAGTCGCCTGGTGAAAAGGCACCTGGATCCATGCAATTTCCCCTGGGGCGACCGCTGGGGCTAAAACAGCAGCACTGAAATTCCTGGCATTTTTCTGCCTGGGAATCTCTGGGTCTGGCTCCCCGCTTCAGTCCCCTCTTCAATCAGCTGAATGGGCGACTCTGCCTTCCCGGAGCTCCAAACGCCAACCAAAAGGGCACCCAGTCCCACATACTCCTCCCCACTGGGACGCCGGCAAAACAGCCGCTCTGGCCAAAAGAGTCGCACTGGCGACCCGTGGAGCTCCTCCGCTGGGAATATCCCGGTCCGTGGGCAACAAAAGTTCATCTGGAAGTCTGGCGTCCACTCACTCCCTGCACCTTCACTGGGAGCTGCAATCCTGAGCTGCTGCTAATGGCCATCTTGGATCTCAACCTGGAAATGGTTTTCAATATGTTTTGTGTTGCTTTTTAACTTTTTCTTTTGAAAACATTTTTCAGTCAAGCTGGCCAACTAACTGATCCAAGGTTTATTATACCTGCAAACACCACACAAAATAGGAAACAAAGAGAAAAAGAAATATAGAGGATAATGAAAGTGGTTTTAATAATAGAAAAATGTCTGATGAAAAGGCCTACATGTTTACATAAACCACATCATTTAAATGTTATTAATTTTACCTAGCACCTCTCCATATGGGGCCCAGTGTAAGTTGAGTAGTGAGAATGCCTAAGGCATATGGCTCCCGACTGCAAGAAATACTTTTTCAGATTGGGTGCAGTGGCTCACGCTTGTTATCCCAGCACTTTGGGAGGCTGAGGTGGGTGTATCACCTGAGGTCAGGGGTTCAAGATCAGCCTGGCCAACATGGTGAGACCCCTTCTCTACTAAAAATACAAAAAATTTACCAGGCATGGTGGCAGGTGCCTGTAATCCCAGCTACTCAGGAAGCTGAGACAGGAAAATCACTTGGACCCAGGAGGTGGAGTTGCAATGAGCCAAGATCGTGCCATTGTACTCCAGGCTGGGCGACAAGAGTGAAACTGCCTCAAAAAAAAAATTTGCAAAAAGAAATATCTCTGGAAGCAGGCATCTGGCAGATACAGGCTTAATGTCTGACTCACCTGAGTTTTCATGTGATGAGACTCTTCTCCAAAAGAGCAGTAACTGTAAACCACAGACTGAATCCCTTGCTTTTCAGTAGTTCTATCATAGCCTCCACTAAGATTTCCCCATCTATCACATTATGCTACTAATTAATTTCAAAACTTCTACAAGTTGTTTCATTAGGGGCTAAAAAACAACACTCAAACTGTTGCCTCAAATAGCCTGGGAAATAGACCAAAAATAAATAGACAAATTTTAAAACAGCCATATTTGTCATAAATATATGGAATTGCAGACCTCTAAAAACACGTTTTTGCAGTTGCTTCCTGAAGATATTGCACATTATGTTTTTGTAATCCTGGTAACTTTAGCACTTCAGAATTTTAAGTTCAGCTGAGAATTCATTATCATTCCTTCATTAAAATGTCTCCATGTGTAAAACCAAACTGAAACTTTGTGTGCAAGCAGTGAGATCTGAATTTGAATTCTAGCTCCTTTGCTTACTAATTCTGTGATGTCACCATAGCCCTTTCCATCTTTCACTTGCTTCTAATATCCCAGGACAATTGCAAGCAACAAATAAGACACATATGAGGACTTGCCTAAGGTAGAGCTTCAGTGTAGAGAGAATCTCAGTAAGAATTAAGAGTTGAGGTGAGTACTGAAACTAAGTTTTTCAAAATATATTTGTCAACTATCTCAAGGAAACTTTAAATGACTTTTCATTACAATGGAGGCTTAATATTGAAGGTGGTTGTATTCTTAATTCCTCGAGTGTTCAGCATTTAAGTATATGTTTTACCTTATTGAGAGCTGATAAGATGATATTGCCTTGCACAACCTGGAGAACATTCTGGCACTTTTTATATATGCATGACTTTGAAGTTTGGAGTAATCAATGAAAAGAATAATATAATTTTTTTTTTTTTTTTTTTTTGAGACGGAGATTTGCTTAGTCGCCCAGACTGTAGTGCAGTGGTGCAATCTTGGTTCACTACAACCTCTGCTTCCCGGATTCAAGTGATTCTCCTGCCTCAGCTTCCTGAGTAGCTGGGTTTACAGGTGCGTGCCACCATGCCTGGCTAATTTTTGTATTTTTTTTAGTAGAGAGGGCTTCACCATGTTGGCCAGGCTGGTCTCAAACTTCTGACCTCAGTTGATCCTCCCGCCTCTGCCTTCCGAAGTGCTGGGATTACAGGTGTGAGCCACTGCACCTGGCCTGAATAATATAATCTTTAACATGCACTGTCACAGGTTGCAAATGAACACATCCAATAAGCTTGGAGTTTCACTTTCTTTGAAATTCTTCTCAATAGAGTCAATTACTGGTTATTAAAAATGTTCTCAAGCTCTATAGTGTCCTTATTCTGCTGGGGTTTGCTTACACTATTTGGGGCACAGAAATCAATGTGCTCATGCAATGAGCAAGTGCTCATGCAGGCTTATCTCTTATTTCCACTGTGGCTAACCCTTTTAGTGGGCCTTATCACAGCCAATTCCTCCCTTTTGAGTAAGGGTGATTACATGCATAACAAGGACTTAGGCAGCAGTGGTTTGAATATTACCTGGATAAACTGGTCTGAAAGCCCAAGATACAATAGAGGTTGGTAGGTGACACACTGCTGATTGATAATCCAGGTAGAGACATAGACTGTGAGACCAAAAGGCAATATTAAGCCTGGGAAATCATTCTTAGGGAAAGCAGAGACATGACCTCAACCCCACAAACAGAGGCAGGGTGGGAAAAGCCATGGGCAAAAATGAAAACCATCAACAGGGCTTATTGAAGATATCAGAGCAACCAGAAAGTGGGCTAAAACTGGGGAACTTCGGAAATAAAGGTTGACTTAACCACAGAGGAGGCAGTCATCCAGTGAGATTCAGACCCTCTGGGGAATTGACTTAAGGCAAAGCAAAAGACTCCTAAAGACATTTTTCTTATTTATTTTTTTTTTTCCCCACACCAGACCATATATACGGGTGAGGGCGAGAGGTCTGATGAGTCACTGAGACAAAGAGCTTTGAAGTGAAAAGCTGGTATGTCCTGTGACAAGGGCCTCTGGGATTCCACCAGCTGCTGGTACATAAAGGGGATGGGTGACCACTGATTGTCTGAGCTGGGTTCATGCATGGGCTCTCTTTTATTCCAATTATTCCACAATTGGCACCTCCATTAGGAATCTCTGTTGTAGTTAATATTTCCACTGTGCTCCTCCTATAGAATGTCCAGATTGAAGTTCTTCATGAGATTGGTAAAGGGATGCTAAAGGGATGGGGTGGGTCCTGCCTTCACATCTGAAGCCTCGTAGGGGAGCTTCCAGGGACAATACCAAGAAATTTTAAATGTCTTTGCTCAAGGTGGGAGACCAAAAGGTCTGGTGCCAGACTCACACCTGACAAAGGTAATGCTGCCTGTTGACTCAAGGCGGACTCCCTACTGGGAGAGTCAGCCTAACAAAGAGCTCATTGCTTTGCTGGCAAAAGTGGGATGGGCCTGCTGACCAATGTCTCTGAGACATATGGTTATAAGAATATTGTCCATAGACTAAATTTGGATGATGCAAGTATAGGGTAAACACACCTAACAACAGTAACTTAAGCATACTCTTAGGATGAGCCTGTATACCAGATATGCCTGAATGTGTGTTCCAATCAAATGTGTGTTCTTTGTCTATGAGGAACATCTGAGCTCTGGCTCATCTGGTGGAAGGGCCATTGTATTAGTCAGTTTTCACACTGCTATTAACACAAAGATACTACCCAAGAAGAAAAGAGGTTTAATTGACTCATAGTTCCATATGGCTGGTGGCTCAGGAAACTTACAGTCATGGCAGAAGGGGAAGCAGGCACCTTCTTCCCAAGGAGGCAGGAGAGAAGTGAGTGAAGGTACAAGTACCTTTTATAAAACCATCCGATCTTGTGAGAATTCACCCACCGTTATGAGAACAGCATGGGGAAACTGCCCCCATAATCCAATCACTTTCCTCCCTGGATATGTGGGGATTACAAGTCCCTCCCTTGACATGTAGGGATTACATTTCAAGATGTGATTTGGGTTGGGATGCAGAGTCAAGCCATATCAGCCGTATGGGGGATTGAAGCCCTGAGTTTTGGGTTGAATGCAGGTTGCCAGGTGGAGGTCATTAAGGGGAGGCTGTTAAGTGAAAATGCTAGATAAACTGCATGCTGTTTTTGCAAGTGCTTGTTCTCCTGCCCAACCAGCCGCCACTGGGCCATATATATGGTGGATATGTTGTCCAGCCTCCTACCATTGTGCAATTTCTGTATGTAAGGTGGTTCTCCTGCCCAGCCCGCTGCCACTGGACTCTCCCCTCTGTATATAAGTCCTTAATAAACCACCATGTCTCGTTTGCTGGTTTTGGATTTCTTCTTCGCCCTGTTAAACCTGGCACTTTCCCTACTCAGGTCAACAGGGATTTAGCACAACAGCAAAAGAGCCAAAGTGGAATTGCTGAGGACCTGTCTGACCATGCAGGAAGGAGCTGAAGATATAACACACCCAGTCTTGGTGGAAGGAGCAGCAAGTAACCACTTTGAACAACAGAGAGAGGTATTTTGTTTTTTGATTTGTTTGAAAAGGAACTACAGAAGGGTGGTCCAGTTGGCGCTATCCCAAGACTCCCCAAAAGGGTCCTTCTATAAACTAAATGTTGGTGTTCCCTAAATTCCTAAGTTGAAATCGTAACCCTCAATGTAATGGTGTTAGGAAGTGAGGCCCTTGGGAGATAATTAGATCATAAGGATAAACACCTCATGAGTGGGATTTCTGTCCTTATAGTGTCCTTATAAAAGAGATCTCAGAGACCTCTGTCACCTTTTCTGCTATGTAAGAAAAGGACATAGCAAAAAGACAGCTGTATGTGAACTAAGAAGAGGGCAGTCCCTAGAACCGAACCTCCCGGTACCTTGGTCTTGGACTTCTGAGACACCCGAACTGTAAAAAATGAATTTTTGTTGTTTATAAGGCATCCAGCCTATGGTAATTGATTACAGCACCCCAAACAGACTTATGCAGGTCCCCAAAGAGAAATGGTCAACTTTAAATATGAGCTAGGCCCCGAATAAAGCCTCAAAAGCAAATAAGAATGGGGCCTCTTGCCTTTCTGTCTCCACTATCTCAGTAACCCCACCCTCTTCCCATTTTGCCCCTGCCGACCAGCACAGGCAGCTATGAGTGGGAGGCAAGCAGAGCACCTAGGCGGGAGAAGGTGGCCCTGGTCCTCACCACATAGCAGCAGGGCTCCAGGCTGGGCAAGTGTGAGCTGAAGGAGGCCACAGCTTATCATGCAAAGTCAAGGTCAGGGTTCTGACTGAAACATGGGACTGTGCTTTACATGTCAAATTATATTTACTTCCCCAACATGATGATAGGAATGTCTATTGCCAGAAAGTGAGTCAGTAAGCCATGGCACTGGTCCAAATTTGTGTCTGGTGCAGATAGTTGCCCAACTAAATAAAGCTCAGAAAGACAGTAAGAGACCAAAATAAATTGCCTCTTGATTCTATGCTTCAGGATATCCTTGTTCAACTTATGTCTTACACATACAGTCATCCTAGTCAGAAATCTGGGAGCTACCTAAGTTCTCCCTTTTTCTCATATCCACATTCACTCTACCATCAAAACCTATAAGATTGTTGCTAAATGTATTTTAACCCATTCCCTCCACTTCATCCCAAACTGTGTCTTAGTTGAAGTCATCATCAAATCCAGCTGGACTACTGCGTGCTCCCTTCACCAGATCTGAGCCTTTGGTCTCAGCCTGTGTTCCCATTAAATATGCTTGATAAATGGTCAATATATCTAAGCCATTATTCTAATCAGTTATTTTTATTCATCCTTCAAGATTTGGCTCAATAGTCATCTCCTAGAAGCCCAAACAAGGACCACACTACTGACTGATCCTACCTACCTAATCTGTGCATAACTCTACCTTTGTTGGAATATCAATATATGTACCTATGTCACTCACAACTCACTCTAAATTTTTCAAGGGCAAGAAGACTTCATTTCAGTATGACTGGCTTTTAGTCAATTATCTATCACATAGATGCTTAATAAAAGTTTCCTAGACTGAATTAAGCCTCATGTTAAAAAATAAATCTAAACAATAAATAATAAAGTCATACTATAATAAATTTATTTTTAAATTTATTTCTCTGCATTTGCAACTCCCAGCATTTCATTATCTGTGCAGATAAACCAGAAATCATTGTAGTAAAGCTCATGAGATCATCTTGGGTCATGCTTTGTTATTGCCCATCGTGAACACCATGTTACAAATGGCCTTTTGCCATTGTCAGGGTGTTTGCATAAATGCCATTCAGATGTCATTGAGGTAGGGAAATTACATGTTCCTTCTCAACAGCCTCTCTGCCCTGGTAAGGTGTGTATTATGATGAAAGTAAGTATTACACCAAAGTCTGCCACAAGTACATACCTTCATTAGCAAACAGATACGATGATGTTGACTAACCAGTTCTTATAAGATCAGGCATGTTCTTGCTCTTACGTTTTAAGCACTCTGAAAAGTCAGTCACTAGGTTCATGCAGAGGACAGGATCAGTTAAGACACTAGAATCAGGCCAGAAAATCGTCTTAGTCTATTTGGGCTGTTATAACAAAATGCCTTGGACTGAGTAGCTTATAAACAACAGAAACTCACTTCCCACAGTTCTGGATATGAGGAAGTCCATGATCAAGGCGCCAGCAGATTCAGTGTCTGATGAGGAACTGCTTTTTGGTCCACAGATGGTGCCTCTTGCTGTGTCCTCACATGGTAGAAGGAGTGAGCTACCTCTCTGGGACCTCTTTTATAAGGGAACTAATCCCATTCATGAGGGCTCAACCCTCATGACCTAATCACCTCCAAAAGGCCCTACCTCCTAATACCATTACCTTGGGGGTTAGAATTTCAACATATGAATTTTAAGGTGACATAAACATTTAGATCATAGCAAGAATCTTCTGGTAAGCATTACAGAAGATCGAATGGAGTTGGCGTCAATCCAAAGATGCTATACTGCTGGCCTGGCCTTGTTACTACAAGGGCAGAAGGGCTTGCACGTTTTTTCTCTAATCAATCCACATTTTTTTTAATCCTCCTCTAAAGCATCAATATCGCACATTTTTAATTCTATTCATTCAATCAGTAAAAGTTCTTCCTATTCATTTTGCTAATGAGCAAACCTTCTGGAGAAGATTTAGCTGATGTTATGGCAACTGTTTGTCAAAACCACCTCTGGAAGGTTGAGTCTTGATTAACCTCTTCCAAAGCTTCCTGGCCATCCTTGGAGTAGTGTTACTAAATAAAAAACTTAAAATAGTATCTGACAGCTAGGATCTAGTAAAATTAATTTACATATACATGTTATAAACCATGTTATCTGTAGTAGAGATCTTTAAAATAAATTACAGATAAAATAACTGAAGTGTAGCAAGAAAATTCTCAAAAGATTAATTTTGGTCTACAGTTTGCTGTTTTTTCCTTTCCTCCGTTCAACCAGAGGAACCACACTGCCTGAAGTAGAGTTAGGATTGCTATGGCAGCAATTCCAAAGAGATAAATAAGAGCCAGTGTTTACTATTGGCTTCCCAAGCAGACTCCTGAAAGCAAAATGGAAAGCCCAGCTAAACATAGTAGGTATAGGCCACAGAATTAGATTGGAAAGATAATCACAGGCAGATATCAATGGGCCACCCCACCACCTGTGAGAAAGAGGAGGCAATAGGGCTGCATTTTCTACAACCTAATTTCCATTTGTATCCTTTTTATTTATATTTTAGTCTTGATTGATTGGCAAATGTATCTCCCTACTGTCAGCTGACAGACAACCCAAGAGTTGGATATATTTAATGAGACTAAACCACAGAAAATAGGAAAAAAAGAACAGTGGAGATGAAAGTGCATGACTTTTTGATACTGAAAAGTTGAATCCTATGCAAAGAAGTTTCTGATGACTACATTTTTAAAAGGTTGTGTATTTCTTCCTCCACTTAAAAATAACAGCAATGATGCTAACACTTTATTGAGCAATTCCTATGTGCCAGGCACTTGTCCTGGTACTTATGTACTTATGATCTTTTCATACTAACTGGCATGCAAGCTCCTTGGACATAGGGCTTTCTGTTGGTCTTTGTTCACTCTTATGCTTGCCAGGGCCTATGGAAGGATCTGGTTTGTCATCAACATTAAACAAATATTTGTTGAATAAATGAGTAAACTGACTTATGGAGTCTTCTATTAGGAAGCTCCGTGAAGTAGATATTCTCATCCTGCAGTTAAGAAATCTGAACTACTGAACTAGGAAGGCCTCAGTCTTTTATAGATGGATTCAGGATCTACCCAGTCCAATATACCATAATTTTTCCTCCTCCTGCCTTCATTTCCTATCTCATTCCTTTATTTGGTTCTTTCTCACACAGCACTTTCAGTGCAAAGAGACATAGCCAGCTGCTATGACCCATAGCTGCACAGTCAATTAGTGGTGAAATGGCTCAGAAACCAAGATCTGTGATTCTAAACCAGCCCGTCTCCTCATTCCAACTCAGCTTCCCTCAATCAGAACAAATAACTCATTATTTATTGAAGCTGGATATTGATTAGCTCTCAAAAGCTGTACACATTTGCTTTCTTTTTACCTTTTGAAAAAAATAATTTCTTAGATCATGATTACTGAATTTAGCCATGAGGCTTAGATTTTTAAAAGAGTGAATCAGATGATGTTGAAGCTGAAAGGGACCTTCAAGGATATCAGTTGAAATACTTTTTTCTACACAGATAAGCAAACTGTGTCACAGAGAGTGAAGTAATCCGTTCAGGGCAACCCACTGAATAAGTGAAAGAATCACAGGAGAAACTAAGTCTCCAGAGACCTAGTTCAATGCCTTCCACACCCATGTATTAGACTTGCTTCCTTGATTCAATTAGACACCATTTTTAGAATAGGACATGAGACCATTTTTTTTTTTTTTTTTTTTTTTACCCAGTATGCTTTTTTCAGTAAGTGGCAATAGGGGAAATTCTGTGGCCGTTTTCTACCTGCCCTGTAGGCCTGAAACATCCTTTAAGTTTCCCTGTTTTTGCTTGTTTTGCTATTTAGGATTTTGTGACTGTTTTTCTTAAGGCCCCACTCCATGCCTGACTTTTAGAGCAGGCTCTCATTCCATACTTCTAAATCCTAAAATGAACATTAGAAATTTAATCCCAGGTAGAGGGACGAAGAATTTTAAGGCGGCTTTTTTTTTTGAGACAGAATCTCACTCTGTTGCCCAGGATGGAGTGCAGTGGCACGATCTCAGCTCACAGTAACTGAGCTGCCTCCAGCTTCTGCCTCCCAGGTTCAAGCAATTCTCCTGTCTCAGCCTCCCAAGTAGCTGAGATTGCAGGTGCCCACAATCACGCCCAGCTATTATTATTATTATTATTATTATTTGTATTTTTAGTAGAGATGGGGTTTTGCCGTGTTGGTCAGCCTGGTCTCAAACTCCTAACCTCAGGTGATCCACCCACCTCGGCCTCCCAAAATGCTGGGATTACAGGCATGAGCCACCACACCTGGCCAAGAAGCCTTCTAATATCAACTCCTGAAGTTTCATTCCTGAATATATCAACTACTTGTTTGGACAACTACATGTTGGAATCAAACTCCTTAATCCAGTATCTTTCAAGGAAACAAATCCTTGCCAGCCCTTGACCTTATAACACTGCCTAACTGGCCTGAGGAGCCCAGAGGTCCATGGAGGAATGGTGAAAAGCAAGAAAAGTGGCGAGAGGGTCTGAGGGGTACATTAACATCAACCCTCAGGCCAATTGTGATGCATAGTCAGAAATTCCTCTTACACAGGCTTGCCCTGGAACACTACAGAGAGAGACTTAAAGTGAGCTGGTTCTGTCCCTTGAACTTGGATATACTTGTCAGTGTTGGTTTCTTGATGGAGAGAAGTCTGTTTTCCTCAGGGCGTAATAACAGGCACAGCTGACTTATACGACTGAGACTTTGACAAGAGGGTGGTGATGATGATGGTGCAAGGGCTGTTACCCAACATCTGAAGCATGATGCTAAATAGGAAAAGGACTTTCACCCCTTTTAAGTTGAGAAAGAGACAGAGATAGCATTGTTGTGTTATAGTCATATTTACAAGGTTATTAAAATCTAAGGGTTTTTTTCCTCTACCTAGAATGACTCAAGTTATCTTCAGATCCAGCCCAGACTTGAAGAGAACGGAAGCCAAGCTCTTAAGCATCAGGGAAGGTTTGAGGCTGTGATAACCTGCGAAAGTAAGTCCAATGAGAGAGAGAGTGAGCTTTATCTTTATGACAAAACAAGTAACATCAGTTTTATCTTGCAACTGCTGGCCACAAAACGCCTTTGTGAAAATGCGATTTAACACAATAACATGAAGTAGATTCTTCTATTCCAGGAAGAAAGATGATGAACAGAGGTGGGGCAGGATCTTGTCAGAAGGGGTGGCCCTGTGGTGGCAATCTCTCCAGAGACTCCAGTGGTGATGGAGGGGTGGCATCAGCAGGCTGTGTGGACCCCAGCTGTAGCTGCATGGGTAGCATCAGGCAGCATGGGAAAAGTAGGGGGGCTGCACTGCTGAGCAGGGACTGGCATGGCCGGCTGTGGGGTGCTGTGAGCTATGCCACTGGCCTCATGCACACAAGAATGAGGGCCTTGGGAACCAGGATCTGGGAGCTTGACTAGCAGGAATTGTATCCAGAGGTTACTGCTCAGACAGTTATTCATATCATCTACCTCTCTGTCCAGGTGCTATCTAAGAAACATGGTTGGATAAACACGGCAGTTTCCAACTGAGACTCTTCATTAAGGAAGGGTTTTGGAGGTTCTCATCCCAGGTCTCTTCATTTAGTATGAGAGAAGGGGAAATGGTTTGAACTGGAACTATTCCCACTAAGGATTTTTGAGAAAAACATAGCTGTCTCCCAAAGTTCATTTCTATATGGTAAACAGAGGTCTCACACTGATCCAAAGGCTTGGCTAGAAATGAGAGAATAAGAAATCTGTCTTATAACCCAAGGAGGTCGAACTTCAGCCTTCCGTGAAAGAGCCTCCTGGGTGCAATTTAGCAGGTGTCTTAGTTCCCTAAGAATGGAATAATTTTAGATAGTCCCTGAGTACCTATCAAGTGTAATAACATTTAGGTATTTATGTGTAACAGAAATTCACCAAATGTAAAATTTCCACTGATTACACTTCCCACATACTTTGTTTCAGTGCCTAATACACCAATTTGAAATTATTCCCAGCTCATAGACCCTATCCACTGATAAGCCTCATGGTTTTCGACCACAGTATGAATACCTCTCTGGTCTCATTGCCATCAAGAAACCAAAATTGGATTGGAAAATCAGTGGCCCTCCTGTCATCGTGGCAGAAGTCAAGAGTAGAGGAAGGCACATTTTTCTTGTATAGTCGGGGTACGGCCTCAGAGCCCATCATCAGGTATTTACTGAGCCTCTACTATGTGCCAGGCACTCCAGGCACACAATGTGAATCCATGTTAGAGTTGGCAAATGACATGAAACCAGTTTCACATTTCAGATCCAGAGTCTGCGTTCGATCTTACTTTCTTAGACCTTGTGTGGACCAACACAGTCTAGCTTGTTAGTGCCCCATCACTGCCCTCTTTCCAATGGACTGGAACAGGAAGCCACTCAGACAAAAAAGGGCTGCATTTTAGCTCAGTCATAAACATACGGAATTATTCAATACTGGTAATATTTTCCTAAAAGTCAAAAGGCAAGTGAGTGGATGCTTGTGTGACTCACTGAGAATGCAAAGCTTATTGATTTGTAGCTCACCTTTTGAATAGTTACAATGCTCTCTAAACAAAAAGTTGCTACCTATTAACCTCCTGATGAACTTAAATGTAATTGCATTTGAGACCTGAGTTATGAAAAATGAATTCTTCTGTACAAGCCATAACTTTGGAGTTCTTTGGCACACAACATGAAAATTTTTTCCCTCCTATTTTGATTACATATTTTGGAAATAAACCTTAATAGGTTACTTAACTTCTGCCAAAGTTCTTGAAGCCTCTTTGGATGCCTAATCTTAAGGTGACTGTCTCTCAAATTTTACAGATCATATGTACTTTTCAAATGACCCAGTGTTTTTTTTCTAAAAGCTAGAAATAACAATTTTAGTGTCAAAATGCCCTTCCTTAGAAAATTTTACGACACTAATGCTCAAGACTATTCTTTTAACAAAATGACAACCATTGACACGCTCACTATCCAATAATAACAGTTTTAAATTTATGCAGAGGGCAAAATTAATCAGATATTTTGATTTTGTGGTGGAGACTATTTCTAAAATGATGGAGTATGTATTGATGAAATAAATATTGTCAAATAACTCTACCTGATTATGCATCACAATGAGTATTAAATAAACCTTCCTCAATGGTAAATAAGCAGAATATACTGGAGAACTAGGTGTCTCACTCAGATTGTAGACAACCAAGAATGCTGGATTATTGCAGGTGGCTCACATAGCATTTTGTGGTTATTGGGAAAACAGTGGGACCTATAAAATGATTGAAAAATTTATGTTTAATTATCTGCAAATCTTCTTTTTAAAAAAATTAACTTTGAAAGTAACTGATTTCTATTATTAGAGAGCCCCAAACTATAAACAAATGCATGGCACTACTAGCATGCATTTCATATTATTATAAGACTTTCAACATCTAGGTTTAATATTTGCAGATGAAACATTTCTATTGAGCCCCAACCCTATTGAGGCTGGTTGACATGGTTTCTTGTGGATTAACTGTATAGGAGCTCCTTTCTTTGGTGAAGGGCATTAAACAAAACATTTAAATAATGGTGCACAGTTCAACTCCAAAGACTCAGTTAGATGCTCATCCAAATTTTCCTTAGCTTTTGTTCTCCAAAAAGCTTAATCTTTTGGCTTATGGAAGGTATATGAATTTATGATCATAATAACTTTATATTAGAAGTGACTTTTTAAAATTTTATGACTTCTTCCTGAGACTTCTCTTGAGTTTTTCCCCCCAGCACATTTGATGAAAGAGGATTGGTAATTTTAAAGTGTTGCATTTTCTTCTTTTTATTTTTATTTTTTGCAGTTTGAAAGCTTTTATTTTATTTTTTATTATTATTTTTTACTGCATTTTAGGTTTTGGGGTACATGTGAAGAACATGCAAGATTGTTGCATAGGTACACACGTGGCAGTGTGATTTGCTGCTTTCCTCCGCATCACCTGTATCTGGCATTTCTCCCCATGGTATCTCTCCCCAACTCCCCACCCCCCACTCTCCCTCCCCTATTTCCCCCGACAGACCCCAGTGTGTGATGCTCCCCTCCCTGTGTCCATGTGTTCACATTCATGGGGAAAATGTTACATTTTCTATAGCACTCTATCAATATACTTCAAGGAAAGCAGGGAGGCCAGGTGTCCTTTCTACATGTCACATTTCCCATGACTCCAGGGCTGTCCACAGCCTCCACAGGGGGAATGGTGGCTTCGGGGCTTTGCATCCGTAGATGTTATCATGGGAATGTGAAGCTGTTCCACACAATTTCCAGAGGGCAACAGCAAATTGCTATTGAGCACGAGGAGCATCTACGAGTGATTGAGAAGGGAATCACATAGTCCAGTTTCAAATGGATGACCTCTTCAGTGCTATAATCATGACATGAAGAGTTGAAAAAATACGTATTATGTCTGGTCATAATAGGAACATTTTCTTTAATAACCCTTTTCATTTTTTCTTTCTCTTCGCCGTCCCCTCTGGATGTGAATATTCACTGTCAAACCTTTGATCCCAATGATCCTCAAACATGAAAAGAGGAAGAATTTTTATAATGTGGATGTTTTAATTTTCTATACGAGTGCTGAAAACTATAGATCCCTGAAGTTGGAGGATAAGATCAGCTTCAGCTTTAGGAAAGAGATTGACTGATATTTATTCAAAGATTTTTAAGTGAACCTTCACAACAGAGTGTGAAAACGATCATGTATATCTGGAGCTTAAGGTTCTGATTTTGTTTTCTTCCTGGAGTATGTGTGTGAGTGCCTATGTGTATATATTGGCTTAAGTAACACGGCTATCGCCTGTAAGGTGCAAATTTCCCAGAAAATTAGAAACTCTTTCACTAAGGCTGGTCTTTCCATTTATTCAGGTGCCACACAGTTTCTTTTAACCTGTGCTGATGGCAACCGAATATACGGAGGGTGAAGGGAACAATACGTCAAATTGTGGGTAAAGCCACATCTTACACATTCTCTTATACTTATCTTGTGTCTTGGTGTTTACAGTTTTCCATGCAGTTCAAAAACAAACACAAACAAACAAAAAGCGGAAGGACGGAAAGATAGAGCTTTTATGTTCTTTTCCTTCATCAGCATTTAAACATTAGGATTTGCCTTAATATCCTTTTGTAAAAGATTTCAAACAGTAGGGGTTTGGATGCTTAGCTTTCATGACTCTGGTTCAAGGAAATACTTAAAGCGTGACTTGCCGTCTGTATTTCCCCTCTGCTTAGTTAGATTTTTAAGTTGACATCTTTTTTTGTGTTATTTTAAAAATTCAGAAGTAATTGCATGACTGACTTTTTACAAAGCACCTGAATCCTCCCTTAATTCAACAACACAAAATACTGGACAAGTGTTTTCAACTATAGGATGACATGAATTTGAATTTAGGTTTAAGTACAAAACATTAGCCAAATCAGTTTTACTCATTTCTTGTTATTTCTAATCTCTAAATTGTTCTCCTTATATTAAAGTATAGAAAATGCTCAGACTGGATTCACATCTTGGTATATAGCCTTTAGTAAGTTAACAAAATACACTGGATAGGGTAGATAGGTAAACATTTACTTTCAACTAATTGACAGTGAAAAAAATCTTATGTTCAAGAACATTAATCTCATGTTCATATGTCTTTTACAGCCATTTTTAATCTGTGGAAAGTTCTTTAGTCAAGTTACCCTTTCACTAGGATGACAGAAAATATTGTTATGCACAAAATTAAAAAATTCTCAATAGATTCATTTTCCTTTTACTTCTGATTGTGAGGAATTTCAGAATTTAGGTTAAAGAAATAAGCAAACTTTCCTTATTCACAGGCCGTATCTTGCCTGTTTTTTCCACTAATATGAGTCTGAAACAGATCACTAATCTCCTACAAAGCATTTCCTTGGAGGCTACTTACCTACCTCTGATACATTCCCCTAAACCACGGCTGGAGGCTGTGGGTGTGACTGATATTTAGAGGCAAAAAAAAAAAAAAAAAAAAAAAAAAA